TTTTTTTAATTCTGTTCGAACTTATTAAATACAAATTAACTCACAAACACACACAGTTATGAGTCAATTTTCTAGCATGATTGGCATTGAGTCATTCATATTTTTTCTAAGAAATAATGTTTTAAAATATTTAATCACATAATAATGGTTAAATTACGTGTTTACGATTTTTTCAAAGGTCAAGTATAAGAAAGTAAATTCCTATTGTGAAAAGGATAACTTTCGAACAGTTTTTTCTTTAAAATAAAATTAAAATGTTTTGAATTAGACAAAAATCTGACTTGGAAGAATAGTTTTTGAGTTTTTAAAGGATTTTTCAATTATCAAATCATTACTAGATACCGTGAAATATTGTCACCAATAACCTGTAATAAACTTTAGGAGATTCTTATATAAATTACATCCAAAAGAATATAAAACTTGGTTAGCTAAATACTAAAGAATATCAAATAGAAAAAGCAATGAAAAATTAAAGTTATAATACAATTAACAAAGAGTCATAAACTTACTTTTACTTTTTTGCATGAAAATGTACGTTATTAGAATCCATTACTTCGCAGCCGTCGCCGTTCTCAGAACTCAAGAAGCTATACTTTCCTTCATTCCTTTGATAAATTATTTAGCTTCAATTCTATCTTTGACTATAAAAAATAGGACTAAGCAAAGACTCGCTGCGAGTTTGTACTCAATAAATTCTACCACATGTGCGTATCATACTGAGACGTAAATTTAAACATCTTTATGAATGCATCATTATACTTACCCACTGATTTGCTCGAAGCCTACTCTAAATCAGGGTTGACTAGGCCATAGTCAACCACGCTGAGCCATATATGAACGCATACTGACTCAAAAATTTACACACACTAGCAAACAAGCTTAGGCCTTATCCGTTTTATTTTACAATGAGGAATATACGCGCTTGACAAGTCCAGTCTCTTAAAAGTCAAAGAGTCTTATACTTATGTTAAATTAATATAGTAACCATCGTGTCTAGTAATAATAAAGGCATTGCTAATTGGGTAATAACAAATCAATAATATATTAGTTACTTATTATCGATAATGTTATGTGAAGGTTACTTGTGGGAATCGATAAAGAGAAAATAATGCGCAAAAAGATTAGATATATATAACAACTAGCTATCGCCCTCGCCACCGCCTGCATTGATTTAAAAAACTTAATAAATAGCCTCTGTTGTGTTTTTACACCTATGCCAAGTTTTTTTTTATTTTTTTATATCATAAGGTGGCAAACGAGCCAGCGGCCACCTGAAATCGCTAAAATAGCGAAGTGACCGTTGCCCATAGACATACGCAATTGCATATGCGTCGCCTACCTTTAATCAACAGAGGAGAGGATGCACAGAAATTAAATAAAAAGTTTCTGTGACACCCATGCAGCCGTTCTGTGGATACCTTCTAACAAACATGTGTCTATCCAAACTTTCGCATTTATAGTATTAGTAAGATAGTAACGAATCATATCGTACATTTGACTGGCTACAACTAATGAAGAAAATTCCTTAAAAAAACTCCTATTTTTATAAATCTTAATTAATCGTACGTATCGCGTACGCATAACTTTTTTTTCAAACAGTTAATGACCATTGTGATATCTAGAATCAGACAACTAAATATACAGCAAGTATTTTATTTTTAATTTCTACATTCGCCTATGCCCTTTGTCTTAATATAACAATAGTACAGAATAATAGTTGTATAGATATAAAACTTGAATAATATCTGAAGGTATTGTTAGAGGAGATGAAGTCTTTGTTTAGTTGCTTCTATAAATATTGTAAATTAAAATTTTACAAAAAAAAATAATTGTTTTCTTTAAGGTGCTAATAGTAAGTACTAATATTAATCCAACGAAAACATTTCCATTTTACTTAATTTTCCTCTAGTGATGTTGAAATAGGCACAGTAACTTTTTTAACGTGTGTTATCAGCCTTAACCCGTAGGGCCTGAGTCATTTTGTGACCCTGAATAATTTAGTGGCCCTGAGTCATTTAGTGGCCCTGAGTCATTAAGTGGCCCTGAGTCATTAAGTGGCCCTGAGTCATTCAGTGGCCCTGAGTCATTCAGTGGCCCTGAGTCATTTAGTCGCCCTGAGATTTAGTTGTGCGTAAGTATACAAAATACTCTTTTATGATATGATAACATATTTCAAATATCTATAAGCTAACACTATGTGAAAAATGTGTTCCGAAGTACATTATTAAAAATTTCACCAATTTATTTCAAAGTAAATTTACAAGTGTAAAAAAATTAAAGTATACAGAGATTGCATTTAAGTGTTATAAAAAATCTTAAAACGCAAAAGATAATATTATAAAAGAAATTTCCGTTCATTTTCCGATCAGAATTTTACAAAAGCCTTCGTGAAGGATTCTATCTGAATACAAATGCGGTAATATTAAGAGGTAAGAGATAGAAAGGAATGTTAACTATGTGGAGCACAGGAGTTAAAGTTTTAACTAAATAATTTCTAGAAATTAAAATAAAATTGATTTATCTACTCGCTGTCGCGCAAGACTTCGTCCGCACGGAATTAAAAAAAAACCTTAATTACTAGCTCATGTGTTTTTCCAGACTATGTTCTACATCTGTGCCAAATTTCATCAAAATCCGTTGAGACATTCCGGGAATATCTTATAAAAAATATCCATCCATCTAAACTCTCGCATTTAAAATATTAATAAGATGAAAATTTTATAACTAACCGTGTAGATTCAGTATTATGCAGTATTGTTCAATCATCATCATCAGCTCACTGTACGTTCCCACTGAGGGGTTCAGAGCCTACCCTAAGTTATGGTTGACTACGCCATACTCAACCACGCTGGCCCAGTCCGGGTTTGTTGACTTCACACATATCTTTGCATTTCTTCTCAGATATGTGCAGGTTGCATCACGATGTTTTCCTTCACTGTAATAACGTAAAATAAATCTACATATATTCATTGAAAAACACATTTTGACATGGCAGAATTCGAACCCAGGACCTGCAGATTGCATGTCAAGTGTTTAAAACCCACTGACGCTTTTATTATTAATAAAATTATTTAAATCTGCAGTGTTAGTACTATTAATCAGATGTATTGTTCAGGCTCAATGAGTTGTTTTCCAATTATTTCATTTGCAATCCCTGCAAAAATGAATTATTGTGGTATGTTATTTTTTATTTCACCTCACTGGATAAGGTGGCCTAAATATTAATTAGTACCCATAATTTAGAATAAATCGTAATCCAATTGTTAGAAACGTATTTGATAGATTAAGAATTTCCTTATATAAACTCAATGTTGCTTACAGTAACGTTAGCGATACTTCTTCTGGAAGTTTCCTTTAAAAATTCATTGGAACGAGACGTCTGGGATAACATCTTTGTTTGAAAGCGAACTTTAAATTCAGTTTATGCTTTCCTGTTATTATGTATTAAAGTTTAAGAAGACACAGACTATTCCTTTAAGAAAATATAATGTATGTATGTGAAACATAAGACTGCAAATGCTCTTTTACTTTTAGTTTTTTTCTATTCTATTAGAAGAGATAATACATTGTCAGAATAGCTCTTCTTATGTTTGTGAAATTCGAATGTACAAATTTCCCGCATTCTCATTCAGTTCATTGAAATTATAAAGCAGAATGGTATTACTAATATATTTTTTACGTAATGCTGTGTTATATATTCTTATGGACTTCAATAATACAGTCCTTATGAGTTAATTAGTCAGGCATGTTTAAGTGGCGTACGGTAAATCAGGTAGCCTGAGTTTTAATAGGTGAGTATGATAAGATTAATTGAAATATCGACTTTAAATCAAGTGTAGTATGAATCAAAATTGATTAAAGAAACAAGAAATAATGTGGTCAATAAAAAAGAGGCTGAAAAGATAGATTTTGATTAGGAAAAATAAGAGATACTCTTTGATCAAACTTAATAGCTTTATTGTGAACCTAATTAAGTGGTACTAGAAAAATAACAAAGTATTAATTTTATAAAAATAATGAGATTGCTATTTGTGTATGTACCTTAAGAATCAGTTTTAGGATATTTTTTTTTATTTTATGCTCTTACAAAAAACGACATCAACTGGTCAATTACTAGTTGAGAGTCTAGTAAAATGTTCTTTTCTCATTCTGTTTCCTACAAGTAGAAGATTTCCACAATTTTATTTATAGAGATATTTTTAGTATGATAAAGAAATTGTTACATCCTGGCATTGTAGTTATAATACACTCCCTTGATTGATGAGATTTAAAAAAAAACTGTTGTAACGTTTTGAAAAGTCCGAATGCCTTATAAGTTTTACTGAAATTCGTGCAGTTTATAGTGCGTCCTTGACTGACCTAAATTTTAAAGCTAATTATGCTAATTGTAATTTTATACAACTTGTTTTAAATTATAGATATTTTATGGTTTTAACTTTAAATAAAATAACCAATACATTTTGTTAATATCATCTATTTAAAAATTGTTGTATCTAAAAACATTTAAGTTTGTCGTCAAGTAAAATATTTATTTTAACCACAAAGCGGGGAGGCTGATTCTGATGTCTTCATGTCTATTTACCACAACGCATGCGCGGAAAAATTTTAGTGATGTGACGCAACAAAAAGAATATACTTTTATCGATTCTGTGATTAATTTATTCTGTTGATTTTTCTTTGTTTTTCAACAAACTACATTAACGTACTTCACAGATAATAATTACATTATGTGACAATATATTATAATATTAAAACATTAAAAGTTTTTATATAATTAACGAAAATTAACGTGTTGATTTAAAAATAATTTTTTCAAATATAATTTCCAAACTTTAATTTTAGTTTTAATCTAATTATACATTAACACTCTCTAAATTATTTATATTAATTAGTGTTGTAACCACATTGATAATATTTTAAAAATTCCGGCGATGCAGTTATTTAATATCCTGCCTTTCAGCACAACACTAGTATGCCCGGGCCCGTAGTCGGTGGCCAGATTGTCACGGCCGCGCCCGTGCTATCGCGTCAAAGCTTTCCGCATTAAAGCTGCAGCAATTGTAGTCATTTATTGTAATCCCCTAATGGGTTAAAATGCCCATAATTTAAATGTAGTGTAGGGTCCTAAGTGTAAGTAGGGGTACAGGTTTTGACACATGTGGGAGAACGGTATAAAGTTCGATTCCGCTTGGCACAAGCCGGGGTAATTCGGTGTTTCGGAGTTCTTTGTGCGTCGAAATGATACGGTAAGTTTCTTATAATACTTTTTTTGCATTCCTTGAATGCTCTACTACTAAAGACGTATTCCTAGAAATTATACTTTATTGCGTTCATGTAGTTAAAAAAAGAATATTTTAAAATATAAGAAAGAAATAAGAAATAAAGCAGGGCTTTTGCGATGGATATTTAATAACGTATGCATTCATTAATCTAATACATAGTTTCTGGTAAAAAAAACGATGTACTAAATAAAATGATTATCACACAATTAATATGTATCCTTGTTTCACTGTAATAAATGTTGCACGACAGCAAGACAATTAATTTTAAGGCTTTTATTTAAATATAATGACATGACAATGGTTACATTAAAAAATGCCAGCTTATATGATTTTCTGTTCACTGGCTGGTTACAATATTAAACACAAATGATATATAAAAATTATATTATCAACCGGAAAAGATTTAGAACACGCAAGTCTTTACATATTTGTATATAATGCGCTTTTTAATTGTACATAAGAAAGTCCTTTGTGAACAATCGCGTGACAAAGTATGTAATTAAATTCTACCATCTGAGCCTACCTTACTTTATTCTATTATGAAAAACTTCAAATGCTTTGTTCATTGTACATTTTTGTTGGATTTAAATACGATTTGCGCGATTGTGCAAGTATAAATTTAAAATTAATTACCTATTTACTAAAATTAGTTTACTGCGATTTAAAGAGAGATACTGTTTAAAGTTTAGTAAAATTTGTCACATAGAGCAAACTTCAAAACGTGCCGGTGTCTTGATTATTATTGGTTCAAAGATAATTTTAGTCAAAAGTCGTGTAACTGGAATATAGAAAACATTTTTCTTATAAGAATTAAGGTTAATCGCGCATTCCTCCACTCATCATCCACCCGGCACCGTCTCGACTCGCGAGCGGTATAAAGATATAAAAATTAGATTTTCCCGCTTGCGTGGACGCCTCGTCGATGCGACGCCTTGCGGACAACGCGCCGTTTATCCATGCAAGCAAGACTGAAATTACTTTATCCCGTTCCATCACTGACGTCAAGGCGGTGCGACGACGACTGTGAATGCCGTGACGTTTGCGTTGCCGGACCGTGTCGGTCGGACGAGATGTTGACGAGTGGACGTCAACCTTAGAAGGAATATGATTATAATAGTGACTTCCAATCTTATGTCATTGAAGCAACCATTTGTTTCTAAGGATTAAATTTGGAGTTTTGTTACGTTTTTAAATTACTAATAAATAGGACAATTCCTTTGTGCGAATGAATAAAGAAGTAAATATGATATACAAAATTATTTATCTCTTGGCAACTATTTTGTAGTCTAACCTAGTTTAATTCCAGACGATATATAGATAGTCCATTGCGTAACTAGAGTAAGATCAATGATTATGTCTAGATCCCAGACCAAGTTTTTTTCTTAGACGATGTTATTGGTAGATTTTTCTCAATTGCTTTCACACGGAATAAAGCTGACTGTTTTTGTTTAACTGATAACAACTACATAACACGTAGAACAAAGCGTGAAGTTAAAGTTTTTCTACATTTTGTCTAAAGTCTTTTCCTGTCTTTAGAAAAAGTTAGTGAATTTTTGTTTGTTTCTCCTCTCTGCTAATAACCTTTTTGCAGTTCTAAGTGACTCGGTGACTTGCTTGCTCTTTTGTCACTGTATTCGATATAAATAATAATTATAATTTATACTATCGTCATTATATATGTATATTTATGTCGTCTGCGTCTCGTTCTGCTGTTTTGGAGATACCTTCTAAGAAACATCCATCCATCCATCCTGACATCTAAAGCCAAATGTAATCAAACCCTATCATTTTGTATGAAACCAATTTGGAACGTAGCCAAAAGCGTTGTCAAAGTTGATGCAATGTTTCGGACGTCGATAACTCAAGTATTGTCAAGATTGATGTTGAAGTGTCTTCTCGAACGATCCTCTTGTTCATTTTTGATTAGAGTGATAAGGTTCTACTGTTCTGACTTAGTATTATCTTTCATCTTACCACCGTCTTGCTTGTTTTAATGAACTTTTACTTTGTTGTTTGCAGTTAATTTTGACATTCAAGAAAAGAGCTACGGTAATCATTAATTTAGCATGGGTTTTCTTTGTCGAAAGATCGAAACAAAAATATTAGCTTGATACCCCTTATTTTCTTTGACGGAACAGAAATAATCTTATTCTTACTAATATTATAAATGCGAATGTTTGTATGAATGGATGGATTGATAAGTACATATCTTCAAACTGGCTGCATGGATCTCGCTGAATTTTGGCATAGTCTGAAGGAACACATAGGCTACTAAGTTCTTTTTTTTATTTCTCGCAGACGGAGACGCAGACGAAAGGCGAAAATATTTTTTTTTATCACAATACGACATATTATCGTACCATTTCGACTGATAGTTTTTAAAATTAGATATTGAAAACGTTATACATAATATTCTGTAACAAATCTTATTACAAAGCTTTTAGAATCCTTCACGTAAAGTTGTTTATCAAACTACTGTACCTTGTGTAGTGGTGCAGTCTCGTAGAACAGTTCTAGTGTTGCTTTAAAACGTTCGCACTCGTGATAGTTGACGTAAAATTACCCCTCTGTGATGTCTGGCGACTGGTGAAATTGCATGCCCTGCTTTTTATTTTTAAAAATGGTTTTTCGTTGAATCGAAATATTTTTTCTTAGTAAAAACATTTAAACAATGTGTACAGTGTAGTTTTAATATGCTTTGTTAGTTACTTACAATGAAAAAGTAATATTACGATGAAACTTCATTGTATTTTATAAACAAATAGTAATGGAACTATAAAAGCCAAAACAAAAATTTAATTTAAGCGTCAATAGCCCAATGGTTAAGGGTACGAATTTGCGATCGCGAGGTCGGGGGTTCGAATCCCGCCATTCGACTATTATCGTAAACCATATCCTAGCACAAGCCTAGAGCTTAGTTGGAATGGTTAAAGAAATATTAGTATAATAAATTTACACAAAAAAACTAATATAACAACGGATTGTTAAAAGACTAAACAATTTCAAGACATTTTAAAGTTTTAAAAAACTCAGTGTCCTTACGAGTTGGTACCCTAAAGATTTTCTGTTTTAATATCGTAGTTAAAATATACTTTTAAAGTTAATAACACAAATGTATTGATAAAGTGTTTCATTCTGATTGGCATTGGTATGTTTTATCAGTAACCAAAGAGCTATAAAAAGTAACTATAACTCTAATAAATTACAGAAAGCAGTTCTGTTAATTCATATCTCTTTAATACTTACATATACGGACATAGGTATACATACAAATGTATTGCCAATTAATATTCATGATTGAGATTGTTGAAATCGTATTTCAAACCAGATATGTGACATAAATATCGTTTTAATTATTCAAACTTGATAACATTTGTTTCAGCCAATTAAAAAAGTAAAAAATTCGACTAATATTTGAAAAGTAATTGTGGGTTTCTACTGTCGATGCCCACCGACCGCCAACGACGCTCACCGAGAGCGTCGGTGGCCTAGGGGTCAAGCACTTGACGTGCAATCTGCAGGTCCTGGGTTCGAATCCCGCCATGTACCAATGTGTTTTTCGCTTTACATTTATCCGACCATCTTGCGGTGAAGGAAAACATCGTGATGCAACCTGCACATATCTGAGAAGAAATTCAAAGATATGTGTGAAGTCAACCAACATGCACTTGGCCAGCGTGGTTGACTATGGCCTAATCGAGCCCCTCGGTGGGGACGTATAGTGAGAGTGATGATGATGATGACTGTCGATACATATACAAAGACATATTTTAATATATCTAAAAAATAATAAGAAATGTAAGGAACTGTAAAATATTAGGAAGGAAATGTTATAAACTCAACATGCAATCGCGTTTTACCTTTTACATTTATTTTCGAATACTATGGTACATAATTACTTGTTCATTTATATTATTAAAAGTAATATAGTCGAACCAGGTTAAGCAAGGATCCAAGCGAACACGATATTTTACTGGCTTATAGAAGTTTCTCTCTAACAATAACTATCACTTCCAGTTTTAGTTTATCTAGGTTCTACTGTATTTATTCTTAGATGAAAAAGCGACAGACAGACCGACGGGCGGACAACAAAGTTACTTATAAGGGTTCCGTTTTTATTCCTTTCGAGGTACGGAACCCAAAAACAAATTTTATTTCTGTCCATTCCAAGTAGATAAAATACATCAATTAAGGATTTTTTGTCTAAGATTTCTTGATATTTTATTTCCTTTTAATAGTAATGGATAGTCTTCGTATAGCGAACAAATGTAATTCAGTATGTACGCTTAACTGGCGCTAAGCCAACTTTGAACAAATGTATGGGGCACCGTGAAACGAGGGCACAATGCGCTTAACGACTGGGTTAAACACGGACTTGATTTAACAAAGGGAGTCAGAATGGTTTCGACTTGACACCGCATGCACTTGTTTCACTTGTCAGGAGACTTTACGAGTACTAAGATAATGAATGCAGTTCTTGTAAAGTTTTTTACTAGACTAATTTAAAAAATAAAAAAAACGACGCCATTTTGTTTTTGTGTCGTATTTCAATTAGAGAAGATAAATTGAAAAATTAATCACAATTTTAAAGATTAAATACGCAATAGTTAGGAATAACAACGCAATTCAGAGCGCGTTAACCTGTACAATGTTTATTTCATAGAAATTATTAGGTTTAATTCGTCAAGATCTGTTGATACCTTCATACAAACGTCTATCTAAACTGTCGCATTAATAATATTAGTAAGAAGTTAGATATAGTTAAAAAGGAAATAATGGCGCTATATAGACGTACAAATTAACTAAATTGCGTCATTAATTTCATATGTGTCTTATATTTTCTTTGGACATAAATTCAATTTAAGATATTCATGCGTTTGGCATGGTCCGACTATTTTAATGCCAAAGTGCCACTTTTATAGTTACGTGTCTGCAGACGCCTTAATTTTTTCAAGCCAGATTTT